ACAAATCCAAATAATTCGAAATTTTAGGCGTGTAGTATCATCGAATAAAAATATCAAAAATTTATTTATAAGAAATAAATTGACCAAAATACCTTTGAAATACTTTGGGGGTATTTTAGTCAATTTAATTTTAAGAATTATTTTTTAAATATTTTTATTAGGTGCATCTTGATGAGAAGAATGGACGTCTAAAATTTCAAGTTATTTGGATTTGTATATAAAAAAATTAAAATTTAAACATGAAATGAAGTCGTGACCGTCAGATCGGCCCAGATTCAATCTGAACCGTTGGGCTCATATATTCATATGAACTAGTAGGCTAATCCCAGCATTTTTCCTATATATATATATATATATACACGTATGTATGTATTTCAGGTCGAGAAGCACAATTTGTGATAAGGACAACCTTTTTGATTAATTTTTTGAGTTGTGCCTTACATTTATGGTACAAAGTTAACACCTTATTAAACTGTTACCTTCAAATAATATTTTACAAACTTTAGGATGAGTTTCAAACTCGGAAATGATTTTAGTTCTCCAAAGTAAATCATCAATAAAATGGAAAGGTTCGTAGTCAATCTTGGAGGGGGAGTGATTTGGAGCATTTTTTTAAGGGAAAGCTTCTTTCTATGTCCGCTTTAAAGCATAGAAGTTCTATCCTCCCTTTTTTTTGACCGTCCATTTTTTAATGGAGGGCTAAGATTGCCCCAATCACAATGTCACTTCTCTACAGTATTTTATTTTTAGTTTTTTTTTATATAAACTATTTTGGCATCAAATTTTAGACGTCGATTCCTCTATTAAGCTCGCACTCATGGAAATATAAAAAAAAAATTCAATAAATAAAATGACCAAAATACCCCTGAAAGTTTCAAGGGGTATTTTGGCCATTATTTTTATCGAAAAATTATTGTTAATATTTTTTATATGTGCGCCCCAATGAGAAGATGGCACGTACCAAATTTTACATTCTGAAAAATTGTATTAAAAAAACTAAAAATAAAATACTTTGAGATGTCGGATCTAAGATCAAACGGTGAGTGACTCTCTTGGGAGAAGATAGAACTTCCATGTTGTAGGCGGAGCATAGAAAGCTTTCATTTTTTTAATTCCAAAGCATCATTTTTAATTGATCATCAGGGTGACTAAAAATGATTTGAGTTGTTTTATTGTGAATAGATCTTCCCGAGGTGGTGATTTTCCCAAGGGAACAAAACTATAATTTGGTTCTATTGAATAATTTAAAAATTATCAATCCGGATTGGGAATTGGTATTGACTGGACTGGTTCCTAATCAAAACGGGGATGGGTGGTTCCCACATAACTGGCTGGTTCTTTGAAATCTTTTCTCAATTAATTGAGATCAGCTAGGTATAGGACTTTATAGATTCATGGGCAACAATTGATTAGGCTAAACATGACAAACTTTGAGTATTTAAACAGATGTGCATGTTCATAACACGCATGCAAAAGGTAAAGGTAGGTTTATATTTGGAAGAAAGGCTTGTATTCTATGATGTCAATGAGGAACAATTTGGGTATTCTATTCCTCTCTTAAAATCTGCCATTTTTTTAGACACTAGACATTTAGTTAGGTTATAGCAAACAGTTTCAAACCTAAATGATAGCATAGAATACAAACCCTTTTAAAGTCCATGTAAAGGTCTGGGGATAGTTTCATGGAGACAAACTAAACTATGCACCATAAGATTATGGCTATCCCGAGGAATTCGTCGTCCTTAACTATGTGTAGGATCTCCTCCGTCCATTGATGCATTCGACAGTGGACTTTTCCTAGGCAGCCAAGCTGTAAACTTCACCTCATTAACTCCAACAACAGATTTGCTGAATCCTAGTTGAACATAAGCCAGGATTCGTCGCATATAAGAGTGAGTATGTGTGTCTCAAGGTTTTTATATAAACTTCGTTTTCTTTGCGCTTTCCTTGTCAAAGATGGGAAATGAAAATTACATTGATGAAATGTAACCGAGACTTGGGCAAAAAACATGTAAATAAACAACTGTCTTTAGATTTTCTTGAGTTATGGAAGATACTAATCAAGGACTAGCACATCAAAGCCAGGCTAACACACTCATGGAACCTGAAACACTCAACAAGGTGATCAACAGTCATTCCTGACGCTTGCATAAAGGCGTAAATGATGGTAGGGCCGACAAATCGAAAGCCTCTCCGCACCAGATCATTGCTCACCAACTCTGATCTTGGGGTTCTCCAAGGAACATTTCTCCCATATCTGTACTTATTAATTATAGGTGTATAATTCACATAGCTCCATAAATAAGCACTGAATGATCCAAATTCTTTCACAATCTGCTCCCATCAAAGCTCCAAAATGTCAGTAAAACTTCTTAGACTAGAACTATGAATACCTATAGTTTCTACAGAAAAAGCAAGAATCCCTCAACAGCAATATTCTCTTAGGCTAATCAATGATTTCCCCAAAAATTGCGAGTCATATATGAAGAAGATATTAGCAAAGAAACTATAAAGCTATCTCAATAACCCAATTTGGGCATGAGTCATAATTTCCAGGGGAAATATTGTCTTTTGCTTCCCTTTTCATTCTAAAGGTTACAAAATGTTTTACTAAAAAATTTCAGTGAAAGTCAAAATTCAAACAATTTGGACTTTTAATCGACAAAACCTATCATGATATTCTCAAGTTCATCCTTGGGAGAATGAAAATGAATTCATTTCTCTAAAAAAGTAAATCTAGATACATTGAGAAATATTCTTTTTTCCACTTCTATTGACAGATTTTCACAACTAAAAACATTTGATTTCAAACAAAATATGAGAAATTAAATCCATGGTTAACTATTCCATTTTTTTTGTTAGAGAGAAAAGAAGAAGAAGAAGATTGTTTAAAACTTGCCTTGACTACGGATTTGGCATTTTCTATAATGCATCTGAGTCTTATCTCTGACAATGGAGTTTTATTCTCTGAATCGAATACTGGTACTTGTTTCGTCGCATCCATCAGAGCGATCATATTCACATCAAACCCCGAAAATATTTCTCTTCAACAAAAGGAAAACAAAAAAACCATGCTTGTAAATAGAAAAAATACATCAAATAAATTAAAGTAAACAAATAATACCCTTTATTAGCATGGAAAGTATGCTAGTTAACTTGTGTTACCCTTCAGGAAAAAGTATGCTTGCTAACTAGTTCCATTAAACAAAAGTTTCATTTTGTAGCACATCGATTTTTCTTATGTCAAACTTCAATCTTTTTACTAAATTTCCATTTCAATCAACATATAGTTGAATTCAAGAAAAGGATAGTTAATATTTTCTTAATTTAGGAAATTAATATATATTTAAGTGCATCGGACATTTTCTTAGTATCCTCGCAAATTTGGAAGAAATTTCTTGTTTACATTTTAATTTGGATACAAAACCATTTAGCCTTTGGAGGTATATCTTTTGGCAATTTTAGGTATAACTGGTACACCTTGCAAGGCTCCTCGCAAGCTGAAGCTAGAAGAAGAGGAAATTTCCTTCAAAGGCCATTGAAGATACATATGCTTGTTCCTAGGGCGGGCAATGGACAAGGGCGCCTGCACTAGAAAACTAGGGCTTGGAATACAAAATGTGACCTGAGGGCTAGGCCAGGGCCTAGACTTCTTCGACTAGGGTATATTAAAACCAACTGAAAAAGTTGTGTTTCTATTTGTGGGGTTTCATAGTAAGACAATGAGCTCCACATGTGGACATCTCAATTTTCCATAATTAAGAAAATGGCTTCTCAAATGATGTTTTCTACATAGTTAGGGACTTGTATGATAATACGAGACCAGATCAAAGTCCATTGTTAAGAAAATGAATAAAATTATTCTAAATAAAAAAAAATTGATTATCTTCTTTTTGTAAAACTTACCTGTATTGCTCTCTTTTGCCCAAAATATCAGTCCAACTTTGCTCTGATAGCATGCCTGATAGTGATAGTAGCTCAAACAATAGGCTGCATTATTGTATTAACTATATTAGAAATTAAGATTTCATAGAATTGGAGAAGAAGAACTCAAAATCTATATACATATATATGCATATATGCCATATTTCATGGCTTTTAAAAATAAGGAAAAGTTCATACTTATCATCATAAACAGGAACTCCCCACTGCTCGTCGTGGAATTTGATATATAGAGGATCTGCAAATTGAAACTATAAATGTGTTCATTATATTAAAGAGAAGGCCCATTTTCAAAAGTTGGTTTCCTCCAGCTAATGATCAAAACTAGTATTAAAAAAATATTAAGAAAAGATGCACAGACATGTTTACATGCTTAACGCTATGACAGACAGTGGGACCCTTGTCTTGGCTTTGTTATGAAATTACAGTTTTCATTTCACTTCAATAATTGTGAGACCCTTGTCTTGGCTTTGTTATCAAATTACAGTCTTCAGTTCACTTCAATTTTTTTTTTTTCTTTTTAATTACCCTTTTTTTTTTTCAAGAAATTTTTTTTTATATTAACTGAAAAACATTATATACTTGAGTATACACCGTGCCGATACCTATACTAATATATTGTTAGGATACTTGAGTGTAAAGTGACTATAGAAACCTTAATATGGATTTTTTTCAAAAAAAGAAAAAACTTTAATACGGATAAAATATTATGTAATGGGTGTATCTGTTTTCTCGGGTTTCTCGGGTGGGTTTTATATAAGGCGCCCTTCTTAAATAATAAAGTAATGCGCACCTCTAAACCTTATTTGAAGACCTCTAAACCTTATTTGAAGATGCGATCATCGGTCTCGAAAACTTTTATGATAGCCTAAAAATCCATTTTCACCTTTAATTACAAAATTTAAAGCTTCAAAAATAGTGTAGATCGAGCATATCTAAAAAATGCAATACAGATAATAAGTTACTAGATGCACTATTTTTAAGACCTAGAGATCTTTTTGTTTCGATATCCAACATCTCTAGGGCAAGATGATTGAATGGAGAGTTTTTTAGCATAGAAGCAACTGTTTATGATGGGCTTTTAAGGTACATCTCGCTTATATATTATAACATTTAGGAAAATTGTTTCATGCGGGATCGACCGCGTTTCTACATATGCGGTCCAGAAAGTGTAAAGCATCCATCTTAAAGATGGATGCAAGTAGCTGATCCATCTTAAAGATGGTGCAAGTAGCTGATACAGTCATACCTATTTGTTTGGTTTTTTTTTTTTCCCATAAATTGCCCTATTTGTTGATGACATTATGGTCCCTATTTTGGATCATAAAATCCAAAGTTTAATACTTTGAACATTCAAGATCCTAAGTTACCAATGATTTTTTCTTTCGAGACCTTCATGGAATCGAGACCTTCATGGGATCGAGACCTATACTTTGGTAAATTGTCTCGTATTTAAAGTGTCTTTGGTAAATTTGGATTTTTGAAGATCCGAATTTACTCATTAAAAAAAAAAACCAGTTCAAAATGGGACCAATTTGGGATAAAAAAAGAAAAACAAAAAACGTAGGTATGAAAGTAAGGATTTTATATAATAAAACTATTTACTTTTGATATAAGGTGATCATATTTCCCTACAACTATTTGATGGCTTGGATGTGCCACAATCTCCCGTTAAAGTTTGATATTACTTTCATGGGGAAGTATAGAATGAGACTATTGGTACAAATTGGTCACGTTAATCATGACCATTGGATGTGAAATTGAGTGGTTGCAATTATTCTATTGACCAATCTCAAACTTCAAAAAAAAAAAAATCGAATTTTGTGACATCCAAACTATCAAGTTTCACACCAAATGGTTGTAAGGAATTGTGACCACCTTACATTAAAAGCAAATCCCTTAATGGTAATATAGGAGACATATGCATAGTGTGACATTTTGAGTTTCATTTCTAATCAAGAAACACCTTCCCCACCCAACCACCTAAGAAACCAAAATACATAAAAATAATAATGTAGTACTAAGCATGTAAATTCATTACCAGGTACATGAACCACTGCTGACCCAAAAGAATGGTATAGTGTATATCACATCCACCATCGGTACTAAACGATGAATGGTGGAAAATAATCAGCATCTAATGACCAAAATTCACTTGATCACATTGATCTCCACCGTCCAACTTTGGGAGCATTCAAACCCCCATCACCCAATGGTGTATATCCACTATTGCAGTTTTGCCGTGTCACCCCCACATGAGTAGGTTATGGATTACTTTTTGGGAAAAGTTTATTTAGAGGTGAGACTCTAAATAATCAAACTATAGCTTATCTCAAAATTTTCATTGGAAGAGGTTGTTTTGATGTTCAAATATTCCCAAATTGATCATCTCGACATCAAGATGCATGATATGAAAAAAAAAAAATAGATTTCGAGTTTTGGAAATAATGTACTTTGCAATGCATTCTTGTACCGTCAATCTTAAAGATTTTAAAATTTTCATAGATATGTCAATCTACACTATTTTTAAGGCCTTAAACTTTACAAATAAATGTAAAAATATATTTTAATGCTAACACAAAGATTTCTCGTATGAAAACCACATTTTTCGACACTATTCGAAGATTGGATCTAATTTGATTCTTTAAACCCTAGGCTCAATGCAAACCGCACCCTATATATGCAGAGATTGCATGCAAAGGAATTATAGAGTAGAGAGAGAAAGAGAGAGGCAGTTTTTAGAGAGAGAGAGAGAGAGGACAGTTCCTAAGTGTAGAGAGAGAGATTACCGCTACCCCGTGTTATCCAATGACACCTTTTGAAACCCGAGTTCCCATTCCCAACATCTTCTACGAATTCCTCCTTTCTAATACTTTTGTGCCCTTGAAAACTCTTTTTGAGGCCATTTTGAGGTAAATGCCTTGTGGTCTGTGGTGGTGTAGAGAGAGAAACAGAGTAGTTGGACCTCCTAAACTCATTAGGGTAAACCTTCAGAAACCTTCTTGGAGAAAAGCTTGCTTCTAAATCAGACTGAGAAGGGCTTGAGTTCTCACTCTGACCTATCCTTTTGCAACTCGGGATTCTGTCGAGATTCTCGAGAACACGGCGTCCAACACTCTCAGATCGTCTCATGGTGGTTCTTCGCTCCGGCATGCTCGGAAAGAAAACACAGTGCTCTCTCTCTCTCTCTCTGTGTATGGCATTTCAATATGTTAAGAACTTTGGAGAATTGAGGAACCTTAAGCTTGGAGATGGGGACTTTGGATAGTAGTTGGTGATGTTAAAGTTATATTTGTAGAAAGTGAAATTGTGACTGACTCATGTTTGTTGGAGTGCAAGTTTCAAGAATATGCATATTGCACACTGCATATTTGAATTTGAATTTGTGTAAATTAATGAAAGATGAAGTTTTTATAAAGTCTAGGCTTTATGAAAACAAAATAAAGGCTATTTCAAATTCTCATCCGAAGAGCACTTTCAGCAATCGACATCCTCATAATGCCTCTAAATTTAATTCCAACACCGATAATAAATTTTGAAACTAAAAAAATCTATAGATATTGCGGATCTATGAACACTTATTTTTAGGGCAAAATAAATGGTCTAAGAAAATTTGTTGCAATATATGCTATTTTTAGAACTTGAAAT